ACATAAAGCAGACCAGACCTGCTCATTTACTCCCTCCAAATTGTCCCTGAGATGTTCTTAAACTGCTGTGCCTTTATAAGGACACCATCCCCACTGCCATCGGTATCACCAGCATCTACCAACAGCCACATGGTCAGTCACTATGTACTGATTGCCTATCAGGTTCAAGAAAAAAGCTGTACTTGGTTTTACTGATATTTCATTCAGTGTTAGAAGAGAAAGAACATGGTGAGAGCCTGGCATAGCCCAGCTCCCTTCTGTGAATAAAGAGTGCATCGCTGACAATAGGCATTCAATAAATGCTTCATGCGGGGGGGGGGGGGAGCATCCACCATTTCTCTTTTTCCAAAAAAAAAAAAACCTCTAGGTCATTTGAAGAGATGAACTCTAAGCTTCTGATACAATGTCATGTGGTTTATTGCACCACATATGGTTATTATGATCTAGTTGTCAGCAACAATCCAAAAATACTCGTATTATTGCAATGCAAATAATATAATAATCCACTTGTACATGTTAAATGTGTCTGGCACACCGGGTCCTTGCTTAGGTGCCAAACACACCACTGGCTGATGTAGTGCCCTGAAACTTCAGGTATGTGTAATTACCTCACAAACGCATAGGAGAGGCTAGTTTGTGAGGCCAGGAGGAGAAGAGGCAAACCCCCGGCTCTTCCAGAAGCAGGAATCTTTCAGCAATATATTCACAGTAGTTAGACGGGGAAGACTTTTACGAAGAAAGCAGTGGTGTCTCGTGGCTGTTTTTATTAAAACATTTAGTCAGCCGTTGTACCAGCTCTTAAGATCAATTGACTTCGGTCAGTTGTGAATGAAATATGCAGAAGATTCTATCCCCATCAGCCACCTCCCACCACTGTGGTCCTGTTGTTATGTGGGGTGATTTAGTGGTGAAGATCTCTCCTGTTCTGCATTTGTATATTTGTGTGAAAAACCTAGAACTCATTTCCTCCAGAAGCCACATCCATATGGCACAGAGCGAAGACCATCAGAAAACAGCAGTGGAGGTTTTATTATGCAATCCAGCCAGGTTTGCAAGTGGGGATAAGGAAACATTAGTAATTTTCCTTCTTCTTCCTTGCTCTTTTCTTCTTTTTTCTTCTTTCTCTTCTTTCTTCTATTAAAAACTCTTTTGCTTATGGACTTACAAAATATTCTAAAAGGAAAATAGGCAGAGTAAATCCTATTTGGAGGGAACACACACCATTTTGACATATAACCATATCCAAATGCCTTCTTTGTATCGCTGAACAACTGAGCAGCAGAAGAGACCAGGCCCTGGTCTTCAAAGTGGGTGTTTCCAAGGATGTTCTTTGGTTTGAACGAGCCTCGTCCACCGTTTCATGTTATCAAACAATCAAAACAGAGAAGAAAGTTTTCCTTCTGTACTCCTGGCCTGAGTGGCAGGATGTAGCCTCCATCTGTAATTTTCCATAAAGTCCTCCCCTGGTCCAATTTACACGATATCTAGAGTTACAGGACTCCTGGGACCGCACATGCAAAAAATAATGCCTTCAGTGATTGTTCTTAGGTTGGCCATGATGAAGCAGTGAGGAACTGAAAACATGCATGTGGCAAATTTATATAATTTTTCCCTCATGCACTTTTTCACTTGCTGTCTGGAGCCTAATTTTTTTTTTTTCTCACATGGGAGGTTTAAAGGAAAACTCATCTTTCTAATTTTCGAGTCCTTTTTTCAGCCTGTCCTATTATTTGCTTTTTGGTAATCACCTTAACGGGTGGCTGAGTGGGGATCGTGTATGAAAAGACCTCATCGTGTCTTACAAGGCAGAGATTATGCTCTGGAAAAATACAAGTCTTCCCATGCAGGGTTCTCTCCCAAAGCAAGGGGCTCAGGTTACAGTGCCTGACACAGTGTCACTTGCATAATGGGGACACTGCAGCCATGTTTTCAGTTGCTTTTCACTCTCTGGAATTTTATGCAATGACTGTAGCCAAGAACCTTTGGACTCTCTCTCTCTGGTCAAGCAAAAAGGATAGGAGAAAAAGTCCTTTGAAAATTAAACCTAGCTGGTGCTAGCTAGTAGCCAATCCAGTGTAACTTCTGACCCACCTCCTACCCCTTAGACCCTGCCTTCATCTTTGGGGTTTGGGGTTTTTATACAGTTGTAGAGCGGTAGAGAAGGTGTCTGTCTAGTGTGTGTAGGGCTTCTTGCTATTTCAAATTCTTTGAAGAAGAATGCTTGTTTCCTTCAGTTTATTAAACTAGCTCAGTTAAACATACCAGTCGTCAAGCCCTGTGATGCATGATTACTCCATGTATTTTAAAATTAAAAAAAAATCAATTGTCCTGTCCCCTTTCTCCCTCTGCCTCCTCCCTGTCTGTCTCACTTTACTGAGAGACACTGGGAGTAGAGTGTGTGAGTGTGTGTGTGTGTGTGTGTGTGTGTGTGTGTCTGGGAGGAAGACAGACTCCCTACCTGTAAATGGCTTGCTATTATTAGACGTTCAGTTACCAGGGGTTATGTAAGACAATTGAAGCTCTGTTTTTTAACAGAGACATGATTCATGCTGCTTGTAGTAACAGTAACCACCTCCAAACGAGACAGAAACCAGACGCAGACAAAGGCTGGAGAAATCAATGCCGACTCGGTACAGCCATTCTGCTGATACCCTCTGCCTTTCAATCAGAGCAGCACTTAGGTTATCAGGAGAGGAGGCTCCTGCTTCTTCTGGGTCTTTTCTGGCTCCTGGGGCTGCCAGGTAAAATCATGTGGGCTGGAGAGGCGTGCAAGAGAAAACCGGGCCTTGGGAGCAGTGCTGTCTGACCTTCCTCCCCAGCTCCCTGGACATACTGTCCCCAGGGTCTCCCCAGTGTTTCAGACACACCTGGAGGAACAGGGATTTCTCTGCACTGTGGCTCAGAAACCTCCGAAGCTTCTATTCAGAAAGGCTGGAACTTGGAGGTTTGGCTCACCCACTCAAGTAACTTTGTTCGACTGATACTCTGCAGCAGGCTGGGAGAGCAGGGGACAGAGTGGGATTAGACTGATTTATTACAGCTTTTCCCAAAACCTGAATGGAAATGGACTGGGCTGTCAGCTCCCACACATGCAGGGGACCCATTCCTAATTCCTCCAGTACTCATTCTTTGAGACTATAATAATTCAGTACTTCACAGAATGCAAAGTACTTCCACGTGCTCAGCTTACTTTAGCCTCACAACTTTATAAGATAGGCAAAGCACACATTTTTAATCAATACTATTTTACAGGTGAGAGGTTTTACATCTGGAAGGTAATTAATGCCACTCATTGATTCCTTACTCTTGATTTTATAAGGGTCAGAAAAGTTGACTTGACCATGGTCACATGGCTGGCTGGTTCTTATCAGATCCAGAAGACGAGGCAGATCTTCTGATTCTCCACCTAGTTCTCTGCTCCTCGGATTTGCCACAAAGCTCTTTGGCAGCCATGGTATTTTTAGGAAAAAAAAAAAAAAAGGCGGGAGGAGGAGGAATTTTCTTCTGAAAACCTTGGTTTTAGATTAAGCTTTACCGCTCATTATCTGGACCACTTAAATCTTTCTCCCCCACCTCAATCTTCTCACCTATGTGACTCATGATGGCGGGAACTCATTTTTAGAGAGTGTCCATGAAAGTATGAAAGTACCGCATAACCTTTAAGGTGTCAAAATCAATGTAATGCATTGCCAGTCGTATCCCCCTGCCTCTGCCATAGGGGACATCCTGGGGAGAGATGCAGGGATCTCAGGTTTCACCCAGAACATTAAAGTACACACCTATTCTTACTACAGAAAGAAGAAACTAAGATATTTTACCACAGAAACAGCCCACGGCTCTCAGAAAACAGCCACCTTGCCCCAGTGGCCTATCACACGTCCAAAAGGCAGGCCACCATTCATTTTCACTCTCAAATGTGTAAATTGTCCAGAAAGACAACTCTAAACAGGAGCATGACAGAAAATATCGAAGCCATTTAGCTTCACTGACCCAATAAACTCCCACAATAAAAATTCCAGTTTTAAAAATATTTCCTTATTGATTACTACTACTAATGAATACTCTACTACATTCTTAGGAATTTTAACTTAAGGACCAACACAGAATTTTCTGTTACAGAACTTTTACCATTATCCTACTATTTTCACACATTACATAATACAGTCTCTACCTATTGTAAAGTAAACAGAAGTAAACATTCCCATTTATAAATAGTTTTTAACTAAATCTTTTGTTTGTAAAACACTTTTTATCCAGGAAGGTAGCAAGAGACTTCACAGACTGTACTTTAATTAAATGCACTTTCTCTTTTGCTAAAAGATGAAAATCATTTGTTGCTGCGGTTTTAGGGAAGAAAGCCATACTGTCTTCTCTCACATAATAAAACTCCCTAAGCATCAAGAGACGAAATTTCTAGTCCTAGCCTCCTTATGAACTCACTATTAGAGAACCTGTTCAGACCCAACTTCAGATAACACCTAATCTGAAAAACTCAAAGCCCTTTAATATCTGGTTACGGCACACTTGCCTGAGACGGACAGTTGCTGTGTGCTCTTATGGGCTGTAGCAGTGAAAGAAGTTTATGGGAAAGATGGAATTCATTGTTTTCGGGGGGTTGCATGTTGTGCTTCTGGTAGCCAGTCTGCCTTGACTCCTCCTATGTAATGTGTCTCTACACTGACCCAGAGCGGGAGAGTTGGATATGAGTGGAAGGAGGAGCACATCCAGTCTTGTGATAGTCTGCAGGTGGTTGCTACATGCTCTGTACACCAGCCACATTGTAAGCACTGGATCCTCGCACAAGACTGCCTGACTTCCCTGGGTAGAACAACCTTCTCTTTTTCATCAGGTTGCCATGGTTTAATGATCATGAGTGGTGATCTCATCATTGGTAGAGAGGCAACCCAGTGGTCCCTTTCATGGGTCCTTTGATATTCTTAGATGATTTTACCCTTCTCCGCATTGGGTGTCAACTAATGCAAATTCCTATTTTCACCTAGGGACAGAGCTGCCTTTCCTCATCTAGATCTAGTCTTCATCTCCTCCAAGCATGGGTGTTATCATTTGAAGAGGTGATGACAGTGATGGTAGGTGGTATTTCTTCCCCAACAAGGTGATGGTACATTCCATCTGGGTCTTTAGCACAGTAAACTGTCCCAATCGCTACAGAAATCAAATTCCGATCTATCATGCCCCAATGTCATCCATATCTACCTGTGGTAACCTTTTTTTTTTGAATTATGTTATGTTAATTATCATACATTACATCATTAGCCTCTGATGTAGTGTTCCATGATTCATTGTTTGCGTACAACACCCAGTGCTCCACCCTCCTCAATACCCATCACCAGGCTAACCCATCCCCCCACCCCCTCCCCTCTAGAATCCTCAGTTTGTTTCTCAGAGTCCATAGTCTCTCATGGTTCGCCTCCCCCTCCGATGTCCCCCCCCTTCATCTTTCCCTTCCTACTATCTTCTTTTTTTTTTTTAACATATAATGTATTATTTGTTTCAGAGGTACAGGTCTGTGATTGAACAGTCTTACACAATTCACAGCGCTCACCATAGCCCATGTGGTAACCTTTAATATGGTTATAACTCCATAGTGCGCCCTAGGGATTGCCTGGTGTGCTGGAGTTTCTATAATGTGTAAAACAAGATCCATGACCTACAGAATAGACATTCTCCCCAATGACACAGAAAACAGGCATTAAACTCTATCCATTTATTTTAGTGCTCAGTGTGTGGCAGAGCTCAATATGGGCCGAGATGGTTCTCACAAGGAAAAGTTTCATAAGGAATACATCATTTTGTATGTGTCTTGAAGAAGGGGAAATGCCTAGATGAGGAAAAGGTGATAAAGGCACTCTACAGAGCCAAAATACTATGTTCAGGGGCTCAGAAATACAAATGTGCTCAGTCTTTTTGACACCCTGAATGTTAACTGGGTTAGACCAAATGGAGTATTGACAGAAAGGAAATCTGAGAGGGCTTATTTGATATAGATTCAGTGAACTTACATACCCAGGCTCAAGTATTTGGAACCAGGGAAATCCATTAAAGCATCTTTCTCTAAGTATATTGTGAGGTTGATAAGTGTTCCATTAAAAAATGCTGGGGGATGGTCTATAATCTAATAAGTATGGGCAGTGCTGGGGTCTTCAGCACCTTTAACATCCTCATGTGCATTATAAGTTTGCAAGAGAAACATATTGCATGCAGTGTTTCCTATATTTCTTTAAACAAGGAACTTTCTTTGAGGTGCATCTTGAAGTTCTAGTGTTCTATAAAACTCATTTTGAGATATACCACCTGGAAATATTTTGAAGGGCAGGAGTTGAAGGTGGGGCAAAATGCTATATTGTGATGATTAATCTGGTACTATTTTGAATGGGTATGTCATCGACTACAGAGAAGAAGATATCACTGATGAAACCAAAGGGAAGGAGAAAGATCAGAAGTAAAGAGGATAACCTCCAAGATAGGAAGAGAATGTGGGAAGAGGTATAGATATATTCTGAGGAAACAAAATGATGAAAACTCAGAGATATTGGGCAAGGAGATGAGAGCCAATAAGCTTACTACACTGGATAGTCTAGACCGTCTTACCAATGTAGGAGGCAAAGTCATAAACTGAAAAAGAGAATGGAGAACAGCCTTGGTAAAGTAGGACATAATAAGAAAAACTACTGTAGGCTTGTATTTAGAAGCAACCCTGAGCAGGAGTGAGGGTCGAGATGACATGCATGTGTCACATTTTGTACTGAGAGCAGGAGAGAATGATGTGGTGATATGAATTCATGGTTGAGGAACATGAGAAAAGACCTTGTATACAGAAGGTCAGGGAGCAAGGAAATCTGGAGGGTTATTGAGAACAGCATTGAAATGATTGATCATAGAGTAAGGTCAGGCTGGACAAAGACATCCAGTGAAGCTAGCAGGAGCTGACTAATGGGCCAGGAGAAAAGAGGAGATTCCTTAGGCATTGAGAAAGGGGAGTTCTCAAGCTGGGATTGGAATACTTGATGTCAAATGTGAAGTGGCAAGAGTACATTGGAATGAAGATGAGGGATAAAGTAGCTGGAGAAGATGATGGTAAAGCTCATGGAGAAAATGGTAATGAGTTTTGTACTGAAGTATCGATCAAAGTAGAGAGGGAAAACATAAGTCAAATGTAGAAGATTTTGGAGAAAGTTAAAAACAGGTTCAAGAAGGCAGCAGAGGACCATGATGGAGAGTATAATACAAACCTCTGGCAAGGACCTCAGTGAACAAGACTGGGATGCAGGCAGGAGAGCACAAGCCAGCTGTAGATTAAGACGTAGAGCACTGTGGTTAAAACCTGGCCTTAAAGCCCTGCTTTGCTACCCTCTGGCTTTATGATCTAGCGTAGATATTTCTACTTTCCTAAATGTCAGTTTCCTCATCTATAAAATCAGAATAGAATTCCTACCCTTAAAGAGTGATTATAAGAAATAAAGTTAAACAGGGCACCTGGGTGTCTCAGTCAGTTAAGCGTCTGCCTTCGGCTCAGGTCATGGTCTCAGGGTCCTGGAATCGAGTCCCGCATTGGGCTCCTTGCTCAGCGGAGAGCCTGCTTCTCCCTCTCCTCCTCACTTGTGCTCTCTCTCGCTGTCTCTATTGCTATCTCTGTCTCTCTCTCTCTCAAATAAATAAATAAAATCTTAGGAAAAAAAAGAAAGTTAAATAATGTATGGAAAGTGCCAAGCACAGTACCTGCCACACAGTCAGCATTTAGTTAATGGTTCTGTGGAAGTGATAGAAGCAGGAAAAGGGGAGTGATGTTCACTTTGGAGACAGTGATGGTGTGTTCTCTAGGGTAATGTCATTTTGAAATTTCTTGGTACCTGTTTCTCCATTTAGCCACAAACTATAATGACTAGTCCAGAAAACGTCCTCAGTGCAAGAAACAAGGTATAGATAACTCTGAAATAACACAAATAACGTGCTGCACCATAAATCATGTCCATGTTGGAATCCTCATTACATAGTTTAAAATGACCTTATAACCAGGACCTGTGGCAGGCTTTCTGATCGGGAAGATTCCAGTGTCAAGTGACTTAGAGAAGGAGTTCCCATCACCAGTTACTCATTAAAGCCAGAAAAATGATTACCATCAGTGTATGTGTGTCTGCATATGTGTATATGACATGTATGTATGTATTGAGATAGATATCTCTCACCTGATCCCAAAGATCTCTTATTTTAAAAACAAGAATCAACTGTACCTGATAGCTCTAAGTCTCCTGGGACATGCAGGTGTTATTAACAGAGTTTGTGAATTGTCAAAGAGGAATCCAGAGGTCTCTATGGAGAAAATTAACATAGATTTAATGTGACAAACAGCAGGACCTTCTATTGGCAGGGCCATCCCAGGGGTCTTCAAGCCATCAGAGGTATTTCTTCTGGACATGGGTATTAACTAGTGGTTAATCAAAGAGCTAAAGTGTTTTTTTAAAGGAGCTAAAATATTTTAAAGTAAAACATTTCTTATAGCATTGGAAAGCTGAAGATGGGGTTGATGATTAGTTTGTCTGGCCATGAAACCTTTGGTGCCTTCTTCATTAAGTGGTTTTTCTCACCACTTTCCAGAGAGGTGGGGGGGTGAGGGGCTGTGGGTTAGTGATGTAACTTGGGAATTCATTTCAGGTAATTAGTTAATAAGTTAAGTCAAATAGATTTCTTTACAGGTGTAATGGTTTAACAGGTTGATGAGCTACTTAATTGCCACATCTTTCTTCTCAGGGACTATTAGAGGTTTAAGTTCCCTTAAACATCATAAAATCCACATTTTCTTACAGATGGAAAAGCTGAGCCACCTAGAGGTTAAATGACTCATCCAAGGTCATCCAGCTAGTTCTATCATTTCACTTTCTCTTTTCATCCTCCTATTCCCCTTAACTCTCCCTCCTTTTTTCTCTCACCAGTATTTTGTGCCCTACCACCACTTCTCTGCTGATTATGTCTTAGAGTTACCCTACCTTTACCAAATTTCTGATGCCTCAGATTATGAGACAGTGGGTCTTTGCCAATTAGTAAACCTTCACCACTAATTCATCACTACATGTGGGGCAAAGAAAGGAGGAAAGTGGAACAATTTTAAATTTACTGTGATCTTTGAAACAGCTTTAGCTACACCTGGGAATTTCTGTTAGACAATTAAGGTTAGTAAAGCTCATTGAATCTCTCAGAGGAAAGGTGTTATTTGAATTATTACCAGATAATTATTGTTAAAAATAACAATAATGTAAAAAATAGGAACTTTACATGTTAGAGACATTACCATTTTAATTTCCAATGGGGGGTAGTAGAGCCCTGGGGGATCCAGGAACAATTTTTTTTTTCCCCATGATGTGCTCTATGCCAGAAACTTCTTGAATTCTGTCTAATGCCTGATGACCTGACAAACTGGCCCAGAATCAGAAGCCAGTCGTGCCGTGTGAGCTGTTAGCCAAGTTATTCAGCTTGAACTGCTCCTTCAAAAACAGTAGGACGGCGAGTGTCAGACATAAGACCTGTGGTACCCAACCCAGTGTCATCAGTATCACCTGGGAGCTTTCTAGAAATGCAGAATCACAGACTCAATCCCAGACATGCTGAATCAGAAATCCTGCATGATTCATTTGTTCATTAGAATCTGAGAAGACCGTTAAAAGATGTTCTCATCTTCAAATAGAAAGGAGTTAGGAAGGAATTCTACTTATTGATTCTGAAAGAGTTCCTTCACCTGAGGTCTGTGCTGCCAGTCTGAATTATCATGGAAATAGCATAAGCGTCTTTCTTGTGCTGAGGTCACAGTGGGAACTAGAAATGTGTCATGCTGTGTTGGAACAGTTGTTGTATAGTAAGAAGAAAACAACAACAAAAAACAAAACACCCCTGCCCCCCACCCTTGACTTAAAGTAAGAGAGATCTGGCTCAGATCTGACCTTGAATTCTGACCTCACTATCCACAGAATGGATAATTGAGCTCTCTTAGTCTCACTTTTCCTCATCTGTAAAATGGGCATGCTTATACCTCCAACACAACATTGCTGTGAGGATTCAGTGAGAATGTATTTACATGTAAAAATTCCCCCATGCAGTCCCTGACAAAATGTAGACATGTAACAACTGGTAGCTATTATTGTTACTATTACCTTTTTTGTGAGCTTTCATCATGAAGGCCCCATCTCTCATTTTAGGATGATCTGGTGTGATTTCCAAAGAATGGGAAGAGCCACACTGAAGTGAGACCTCCACAGAAAATTCCTTGTGATGTGTGGCAGTATGTTACATAACAGCTCTGCTCTCTGAGGGCTTCCAAGACAGAGCTGCAGAGACGTCAACAATAAAACAGACTGGGATGGAAATGACCCACCGTCTCCTCTGCCTCTGACACCATCAAGAACGTTGCCAGCTGGGATCCAAGAGCAGATTCTTTATTACAGTGATGATGTAAGAGGCAGAGAGAACAGCTGGATTTCCAGACTCTGGGAAAAATGTGTAGACCCAGCAGCCTCTCAGAATTATCTTTTGACTTAAAAACTGTGTACATTGAATATGGGAGTCATTGCAATAGAATAAATATGAAACCTCATGAAGTCATTTTCAAGGAGTCTTTTTTAGAGCATACCCACCCTTTAAGCAATAAAACATGACACACTAGGCAGTAGTTCTGATTAATAGACCCCTAGGTGTGTGCTGAGGCATGTGGGGAAGTAAGGAGAGGGGGAGAGATGACCGTTTGCCAAAAAATGAAAGGAAGATTATAGCAGCAGGATGTGGGGAGGAGTTTGATTAAAGGACAGAAAGATTATATCTCCATTTAATTATAAAATGCACAATTTAAACCAAATGTTAGGCATGTTTAAAATGTACACTTCTCTAATTACACAATGGATTTGTATGCTTCCAGGTGATTTTTCATTGCAATGTACTAGACATATCGGTCAGTGATATACTTTATCATTTTAATGGAGTTGCCAGGGGGAGAAAAGAGAAGGAAGCCGTGTCTGGTGAAGTGTTGATAACCTGTCCAGCCGTAAGATGGTTTAGTAAGAACTATAGAGAGCTCTTGAGCCCCATTTGCTGTTTATGTGGCTACTTGGATGTTGCTATTGAATGGATGTCTCAGTGCATAGCTTGGCTCCCCCACACTGGCCAAAAAGCCTCTGATTGATAGTAACAAGTTTTTCCTCTGGTGAGTAACAGTAAGTACTCGCCTGGGAGAGGCAGATAAGTCCTATAGTACTGGAGGCTCACATTTAAGAGCTGAGCTTTTCTGGCCAAGTAAACACTACCGAGATTCCCTAGAAAAGTCTCGTTTTCTCACCTAGGTAAACCATATTTTCTGGGGGGTGGGGGGGTGGGGAAGGAACTCTTCATCTTTGGGCAAGAGGAAAGGATTCTGTTTGAGGATGAGGATAGAAAGGAGATTAAACAGTGAGTACTTCTATCATGGGAGGAAAAGAAGAGAAGAAAGTTGGGAGCCTTGGGAGCACTCGCCTATGTGTTCCCGCAAGTAAATTGGTGATACAGTGAAAGAAAAATCCGTGAAAATTTAAACAAACTTATAGGATCAATCCTGGGCAAGACTAGGTGGAGAAGACACACGGACGTGGGTTGTGTCGTAGCGGGACTGCCAATGGCCTCTGTTTCTACGAGGTCAGAATTTAACCATAGAATCACTGTGGCATGTTTTCACCAAGAACTTCAGCTGAACCCACTGCTTTTCTAAAGCATGAGAAATTCCTTCATCCTGCTTTTCACCCTGTTTATCACCCCGGTGGCATTTGCAATACTGTCATAACTGTTTCTGCTGACAGTGTTAGAAAGGTTTGCTTCCTTGTTCTTTAAATCCACCCTCGTTTTTTAACATTATTTATCTATAAAAGGATATTTATTATTTCAGTTTATTGAAGTGAATCAGTGAAACAAATTTCTTTATCTTTTGGAACCCAGTATATCCTTGCTGGCTGTGCACCCCGTGAGCCCCTCACTGTCTCTGGTCTGGTGACTGTGGATGGTCTGCTGGGCCTGTTGGTGCCGAGCATGCGCTGATAGATATTTAAAGATCTGTGACCTTTTCTATCAGTTATTGCTGCTCGGCCAAGAGCAAGGATGTGGCCTTGAGCGAGTCAGTTCCCTTAATCTCATCTGGAAAATGAGAGGCGATGAGCTTTCAGGTCTTTCCAATTCAGTCTCAGTTTCCATGACTCTAAGCAAGAGTCTTGATTCCTTTTAACTTTGGTTCAGCAGACATCAGCCGAGTGCAAATCTCTGTGCAAGGCATTGCATACTATAGGGTATAGGAAGTAAAAATTATCTCTGCTTCCTAGGAGCTTATAGAGGGGGGAGCCAAATTACACAAGTAATTACTAGAGTCCATAGGACATGCAAAGGGAGTAGTGCAGAAAGTGCTTGAGGACTCAACTAGGGCACTTTCCTTGGGGAGATGTTTCATAATGAGGTGGCATTTGGATGGGAAAGAGTGGGACTTCTCTGCGGTGTGGAATGGACTATAAAGAGTGGAAATTAGACTGGGTCTATATTGTAGGGGCCTTGAATGCCAAACTGAGAAGTTTGAATTTAGTCCAGTAGGCAAAGAGCAAAGGAATGATATGTTTAGAGTGGTACTTAAGAAAAATTAATGTGGTATTGATGTAAAGGATGGGCTAAAGATAAAAAGAACCTGGAAGAAGTGAAGCCATTGGGAGGCTCTCACAAAAGTCCTGGCACAGATGACAAAGGGATAAATAGGTGTTGGGAGAGAGAGTAGGTATTGCTTTAGGAAGCACAGCCTCTAATCTCTTGGCAGCTGATTGGATATGAGAAGCAAAAGAAAAGGAGGAATTAAAGATGACTCCTCCATTGTAGGACCAAGTAACTGGGTAAAGATGGTAGGAAATGGACCATGGCAGGAAATGGGAACATATTTCGAGGGAGAGACATTGATTTCTGTTTTAAACTTTCTGAATTAGAAGTGTCTGTGCTGTATTTGATGGAGGTGTGAGCTTCTCAGAGTTAGAGGCCCTCCCTGTCTTATTCATCTTTTCCAGGTGCCTGAGTGATGCTATGCAAACACTGAATGAATGAATGGGTGAATGAATGAATGAACAAGCAAATGAGTGAATGAACCAATAACCAGAGATTATTAATAATGTGGATCTGGACCTCTGCAGACAAGCGGGAACTAAAGATAGCCATGTGGGTGTTCTCTATGGAGAAGTAATTGTTGAGGTCTTGCAGGGTGGGTGTAGGCAAAGACTGAGAAAAGAATCTTGAGGAATATCTACATTTAGGAAAATGAAGACAAGCCAGTGAAGGAGGCAGAAGAGAGAGCCGAGTGGTGGAAGGAAAGTCAGGAAAATGCAGGATCCCAGCAAGAAGGGAGGACAGTTTCGGGAATAATATGGTCATCGGGGCTCGGTGTGGCCAAAAGGGCAAGGCCTAGGGAAGGACCTCTGGGTGCAAGGCTGGAGACAGACAGTGGTCAGCCCTGCAGCCCCTAAGGGTGAGCGCCACGTGTTAGAGGACACAGGAGATGGCGGAGACTTTGTAGTGAAAGGCAGAGACTCGGCAGGAGCTCAGAACGTGGCCAGGTCAGTGGCGTTTCCAGAGCAGGTAAGAACTGGGCACTACAGCAGGAGAGGCTACAGTGGAGTCGAGAACACCAGCAGAAGCGTCGGCTGTGGCAAGGTTGAAGGACACTGCCCCCCACCCCCACCCTCCACCTCGGCTTCCATGTCCCCACCACCAAATGTGCTGCGTCCGTACAGACAGGGTGCTGTGGAAGATCTCGGACCACCCCCGCCATCAGGTGGCATGCTGAGAATGGAGCCTGGGCGACATCCTCTCTTCTGCCTCGGCCTCCCCTGGCCGGCCCTCTCTGGTGCAAAGGTGCAGGACCGGACTGTCCCCCAAGTCCCACAGTTCTGTCTCCATCAGCGGGACTGATCACCATCACCTGTCATTTAACGGCCTTATCTTTCTTCCTTGTCTGCTCTAGATGCAACCGCTCTCTGTTCCCTGCCCCAATGAACATCTGCACTAGGCCCAAGCCTTGGAGTGATTTACCTGAAGAGTGACACCATTTATTTGGAAACTACTGTGAGTACATTATGCCGCCAGTGAAAGGCTTCTCAGTTCACTCAGTTTAATTTGGAAAAAAAACAAAAAAACAAACACCCTCACACAATTGTAGACGCAGATGCAGCTGTAGATGGCTTCAGGTCTTGATCGCGGTGGGGCTACAAGACTCGAGGCTGAGGAGCCCGAGGAGCCCGAGGTGGCCCTCGGCTGCCAGCCTGCAGCACCTGCCCCGAGCAGGAGCACGCCTCCTCACCAGATGACGCGGGGCCGGATCCTGGCATCCCTGGTGGGGCCTGGCACTGTTCTGCTTGGTCGTCTGCACCCGCGCCGGACGTGGTGGCAGCTCCCAGCCGATCTCTTGGCCCCTTGTCTCCTCCTGTGCCACTCTGTTGAATCTCACCGCAACTTGTCCTTTCATGCCACCCTGGTCAGGTCTGGGGGCCAGCTTTCCTCCTCGGCATCTCTCTGTTGTCTGAGTCGCATCTCTGAGCTAATGCCCTTGCTCCTTTCGGGGGCCAAGGCCCTCCCTGGGGACTCGGGGCTCCTTCAGCCGCATCTCTCACCCACTGCTTCCAGCTCAGCCCTGCCCTCTGGATGCACGGCTCTGTGCTTGTGGTTGAGTTCCCTCTATGTCAGACATTTATGTCGGAGAATGCAGGGCAAGGTGCACAAATAGGTTGGGATATGAGGCATGATGCCTCCAGGACAATACTTACGAAAGATTGATATCAACTATTCATTAACCATTGCTAAAAGTAACAGATGAAGAGATGCTTTTTTTTTTTTAACTGAAAAAGCCAGAAAGTTAAATTATTTAGAGGCTATGCATGCAAAACAGCTCAATTATACATTTTAAGACAAAACCTCGTTCTAGTTGTATTCTCAGGTTTTCCTATCTATGGTATGAGGCGGGTCATGGGATGGTGTTTTATAGACCTCTCTGCTACTGGAAAATGCTAACCCTGGGAGAGTAACATCCCTGTTAGGCTTTCGGGTAGGATTTTCACATTCATATTTTCTATGTCTTTAGCTATTTGGGCATAAATCATACACAAAGGGACAAAGCCAGAGTTTTTGTTCCCCTTTAATGCTTTTAGTCACCTGGATTGTAATTAGTGGCAGTGGACGTGTAGGTGACAGGCAGGCTTGCCTGGCCAGCACGGAGATGGGGAGCACCAGAGTCATCTGCAGTACTACTGGGTTCAGGGGCTGGGGACCAAAGACACGACGGAAGATCAAAAATAGTTCCTCCATACCCATGTGAGGAACTTGCTTGTATAGACACCTTCATTCATTCATCCTCAAGCTGAAGTGCAAGGAGTGCCTTAGAAATTCCCACGTCTGATGGTTTTCTGGGTTTCTCTGCATTACAGGGTAACTATACTAGGGCAAGTAACACAGCTGTGCTAGGGTGTAGTCAGGGTCCCCAGGATCGGTAGCCTTTGGAAGAGGGAAGAGTCTTTACCGTTCCTACGTTCTTGCAGAGAACTCAAATCCACACCCAGGAATCAGGACCTACGCTTTCCTGAAAATCATAGGGAGTCCCACCAGTGAGCATCTGTTTCTGCCCTAGGAAGCATTTTACCTGTGCCCAACACCAGTACCTGCTTTCAGGCTTACAGGTCCTACCAGGGACAGATTAGGCTCTAATCTTTGCAAGCTCTCTCATATTTAAAGAAGAAACAACAATAAAGTTTCTGCACTTGGCTAGGTACAAAACCAATAAGGTGAATAAACTATAAAAATGTGGACTAATTACAAAAATGTGTCCAGGGTTGACAGTGCCCTGGACCAGGTCTCAAGGCTTAGGGATGGGAAGGGAGGGGACAAGTGTTAGATTTTAAAACCTACCCACTCCCAGACCACTTACACAACCATACTCAGCAGCCCTGCCTACTTCTCTGGATTGTTGTGATAATTAAATGAAATAATATGCGTATAATGTCTGGCATAGCAGAAGTGAATATATTTACTCGACCCACTGAAATTCACTGGGCAATTTACTCTGTGTCAGACACTGTTCTGGGAACTAGGGATGTGGCCGCCAACAAAACACACAAAAATCCCTGCTCTCACGGAGTCCACATTCAGCTTTCTCCCCCGTAAATGGCAAATAGACAAAATAGGTACATGGACGCTGAGAGAACTGACTTCACTTTATTTTGCTCTGTCTTTCTTTCCAGAAAGTAAAATTGAGACGGAAGGGTGAAGGAAACGGAGGAGGGAAAGAAGAGGTCCACTGATTAGTATCCCCTCTGTACACACACAAAACCCCAGAGCCCTTCTCTGCCCTGATATGTGGCCCAGGAGGCCGGCCTCTCTGGACTGCACTCCCAGGCTCTCCCCCTTTGAACTGGGCCGAAAGGAACATCAGTAAAGGATGTGCTGGTAGGAGGAGAGTGAGGGCAATGTACCCCCCTTCCTAACTGCAGTTCTGACTAGACTCCGAGAATGCCATGCCTTCCTTGCCCCTTGGATTTAACCGTTGAAAGCTGACATTCACAGCATTCCACCGCTGCTAGCCCTGGCGCTTCATCCCACCCTGAGCACCCCACTACCTCCTCTGTACCTCACTATACAGTCCTTATATTAAACTCTCTCCAGCTAAAACCTTTGAGTGTGCCCACTGTTTCTTGCCCGGATCCTGACTGATACAGCGAGGGAGACATACACTGAAAAACATTATAAATCGGCCTTGCCAAGAAAATTTTAAAAATTGAGAGAATAAAATGTTTTAATTACGAAAACATCTTAAATTGATCTGAGAACATTAGACCAAGTAGTAAAAGGATAAATTGTAAGGAGACGTGATAAGCGTGAGTGCCAAAGGTTGGCTTCGACGCACAGACCATAGTGCCCAGGTTTGATGGGCTTCCAGGGCCCAGTGTAGCTTGCTTGACCCTCAAGTTCGAGAGGGGCTCTTGGTGTAGCAAGAGCAATGACAAACAAGTGAACAGAAAGTGTCGGGAGCGTGATACAGTAAGATCAAAGTGTTCAAGAAGAGATTGCTTATCCTTAACATTCTTTTGCCTTTGCTACAATGACAGTCCATTTGCCCCTGACGAAGTCTAGACATTAAAAAAGATTACTAAGGTCGAGGAAGTGCCTCCTTATAGCTGACGAAAACCGTAGAACTGATGCTCTCTCAGAGCTACCATCATTGAGCACTGACCATGTGCCATCACTCTGCCAATCGCTTGACACGAATTATCTCATTTAATCCTCACATCAGCCCAAGGAGGTAGGTATTATTACCCCATTATTTCCACTGAGGCCCAGAGAAGCACAATAATTTGCCTAGGGCACTCAGATACTTGATGGTAGAGCTGGGTTTCATTGGCGGTGGGGTTGGGGGGGCATTGTTACACCTCTGCTCTCTGATCCCCTCCCCAAACACTCTCCTGAGCCTTTTCAATGTTTTGTTGGGAAAGAGAATAAAGAAATGGTTACCATTCCAAAAGAAAGGGGGGGGGAAGGGCACTGTGGGTCTAAATTGTCATGATTCAATGACTGAGTAATTATTTATCAAAAGGAGGTTTGACTAATTCTTTCCTATCCAGCAGGCTGATAAGTGGAAGGTATGTTAATGTGCAGGAGAGGTGGGGTGGGGGGGCAGTGAAGAGAGAAAATTGGGAGAGGGAGATAGAAGAGAGCACTCTCCTCTCAACAGCCCCGGGAGTCTGATAAGAGCTCACACAGATACAATATTTATTTTCCATATGTTGTAGAAAGCATTGCCATCACTGTATGTGTGCAATATGTGCAAAGAAGTGTGAAATATATACATCAAATGCCACCGATCTGGTTAATTTCCACGCATTTAACATGCCTGATACCTACTATCTCATCAATATGTTTCAATGCATATTTCTTTCCGCATGCAATATGTCTGGTAAGGAAAGAGCCAACATCATCCACAACCTCACTCACTGCTGTGTTTCAGCCCAAAACTTGTTGCCAGGACCAGCCCAGTGAGAGTTAAAAAACCAGCCACCAGTCCCCCTAAAACGCCTTTCCAGTTCTTGAAGTGGCCCTTTTTCTCTAAGAGAAATGTTTGCAGTGGGGAGATGGAAATGTGTTTGTTCTCTTTGGACAACTGGGAGATCTTCAGTGAGGATGTCAGAACTGACCGTTTGAAAGGCAGGTGCCTGCAGCCACACTTTTTTTTTGAGCGCAGGGTTCCACCAGTGTGGCGGGAGGAAGTGCACAATGATTGGTCTGTTTCTCTGTGGAAGTGTTCAGGGTACACCCAGTTTTGCTTTGCATATATTTACGAAACATCTGCCCTTTTCTTGTTCTTAAATCCTTCCCCCTCACCAGCCCCCTTTCCCCTTTCTCCCGGTTTCTTTCTTCCTTGTTGTTGGCTTGTCTAACTTTTTCACTGGAGCTTTCATTTTCCGGTTGAGGGGCGACTTCATCAGAGTGTATAATTTTAACATTGGGGGAGGGAGGGAGAGAGGGAGGAGAGAGAGGGAGAGAGAGAGAGACAGAGAGAGAGAGAGAGGGAGAAGGAGAACTGAAAAGAAAGAAAGAGGCTGAGCGGCCAGAGCTTGGCAAACCAACCTTTGGCATGGTGACCGGGAGGAAGGTTCTGGTCTGGTCGGGAGTTTGCCTCTCCCACGTGCGGCCCGAGTAGCCTGTGGTGCTGCTGCCCTCTAAAGGCTCCAGGGAATAATGCATAGCCATGGAGGCTTGGACAGACTTGGCCTCAGATGTGCCGTGTTTATACGATTCTCTCTGCACAGCCAAAGAAGGTATTTTCAGTTAATTACTGCAGGACTTGCCTTTTCCTCCTTAATAAACTATCAGCTGCAAAAACGGGGCAACATCACAGCACCTGTGCATGTCTGGACAGACTGCTGCTACGTTTCCGTGTTTCTCGGCTCCAGAAAAAGGAGTCCAGCAGAACTATCAGAGGGGGTGAGATGAGAAATGGATTGCTTCTAAGGACAGTTGGTAGCTCTCCGTTATCTGTGCAGGTGGAAAAAGCCCAGTGGTATCAGGATGAGCAAATGAGGGGGTGAGCCAGAAGGTTGACTTTTCAATATTTTCATTGGTAGAGGTGCCTTCCAGTGCCTCTGTACTGCGAGTGTTCTCCATAGGTGATCCTTGAGACAACAGACAGGAGGGTGTGGAATAAAATGCCAGGTAGGAAGCAGGATCAAATTTAGGGAAGGAAGCAAGGGCATTTATATAAAGAACAATACCATTTTTGCAGTGTTAAAAAAGTAATGTTGGTTGTTTGGTCATATACTCATGTTTGAAAGAGGGCTTTTTCAATTTCCTGAAACAGAAATCCAAAACTAGCCGAGGCCTTGTCAGTAAGCATCAGAAATAAATATTAAAAAAAAAAAAAAAAGAGTTTTTCTGTTAAGTGATATCTACCATTAGTATTTCATCCTGATATTTAAAGGACTCATGAGGACCAGTCCAGCTTTGTTAAGCAAAATGGTCCTACTCTTGGGGCTCCTGTGGCTCAGTCAGTGAAGCGTCTGCCTTCGGCTCTGGTAGTGATCCTGGGGTTCTGGGATCGAGCCCCGCATCGGGCTCACTGCCCAGTGGGGAGTTTGCTTCTCCCTCTCACTCTCCCTCTGTGCTCTCTCCGTCTCTCTCTCAAATAAATAAAAACAAAACAAAACAAAAGAATAGGGAAACTTAATTGGGATTTAGACGATGACTGTTCTCAGAATATACCTTGAATTCTATTCTGCTTCACTCCATCAACAAACAAATATTGAATGACAGCTTTTTTTAAATTTCTTTTAAAGATTTTATTTATTTATTTGACAGGGAGAGACACAGCGAGAGAGGGAACACAAGCAGGGCGAGTGGGAGAGGGAGAAGCAGGCTTCCCGCCGAGCAGGGAGCCCAATGTGGGGCTCGATCCCAGGACCCTGGGATCATGACCTGAGCCGAAGGCAGATGCTTACCGACTGAGCCATCCAGGCACCCCTCGAATGACAGCATTGTCGAAGCTACTCTGCTTAACAGTACACACTAGAGAGCAAACTCCGAGAGGATAGCAACCAGGCTTGCTGCATTCCCTAACCTATCCTGACACACCATAGGTGCATGATATTTTAAGATGAATATGTGACTAGATGAATGGTGCGAGGGAAGAAGGAAGGAAAGAAAGGATGAACACAGGGAATTAAAAAATAACTAAGACATTTTCTCTCAGAGAGTTTACAGTCTCATGGGGGGGCGGATAACCACGTAAATAACTACTATTGAAACAAAACTTAGCGAGTAAAATAGGGAGAAGTATAGATTTTTTTGGAATTTCAGAGAAAGGTGGGACGGAGTTGAATTTCAGAGAGAAAGAGACATTCCATCTGGTAGAGGTAAATCAAGACAGTTATAAGGTGGAGACAACCTTTAATAAGTAAGAAGGATAAATATGACTTCAACAGAGTTGTAAAAGGGACATTCAAAGCAAGGGAACTAACTTGAACAAAGATGTAGAGCCAAGGATGTAGATACCCCAAGACGTTCTGGGAATTTTCAAGAACTTTGAGAGTCCTGTGTGGCCAACATGTGGTCTATATGCTAGAGCATATTTAGGACTCATTTGGGGTGCTGGGCTAAACTGATTTTCTCCGAGAGGTCAAAGAGGATAGAGAGCCAGTAAATAAACAACAGTCTAAATAAAACTGTTAAGGTGATAGTGGTGGAAATGGAAAGGAAACATGGATGTGAAAAAATATGAAGGAAACAGAATTGTCAGGACTTGATGAATTGGCTTTAAGTCAGAGAAGGGTGTTACTCACCTACAGTTTCCAACCTGATGACAAAGCAGGTGACAGACAACAGTGATGGAAATAGGGAGGGGTCTGAGAGGGGGCACTGGTTTCCAAGAATAAAGAAGAGTTGAGCTTTGGAGACTTTGATCTTGGATATTTTCTTAAACTGAACACCAGAAACCGGGCTTTGGAGGTCCACGTAGACACTCAAGACTTGGGGTCGGTTCCATCGTCACCCATCCAACAAACAATTGGTAAAGCATTGCAATTCATTGCTTCTCTTATATTGGCCTACTCCATGCTGAAAAATATGTCTGAAAGCTTCCCCTCTCTCTTCATCTTTACCATGCTATCTCTGCCTCCTGCCCTCTGAAAAAGCAGATTTGATTTCACAACCTGTTGGACCAGAAACACAGCATGCTAATCGTAACACCATATTCTGCGAGGGCAGATTTAACTACCCCGTACAGCAAATTCCGATACAAAATATTCTGTATGACAAGTCCATTGCCAGGCTTATAGAAACAAGAAAAACATGGAAACAAAGCTACTTACAACAAATTCTGTTGCACACAAAGTCTTCCACCAAAAAATAAAATAAAATAATTTCTCTGGTCACCATCCACATAATGATAGAAAGAGGCACAGAGCCAAGGAAATTGGAGGGCATGTGCAGGGTATGACTAATAACCCGGTTTGGCTGGGACCTAAGGTACATGCAGTGTCAGCTAAGTATTTCTGTGTTTATGTCCGTTTCATCGTCCCGAAGAGGAAGGACACCAGAGCCAACTGGTACCTGAGCTCTTTTGCTTCCTATTCCTGACCTCAAGCAGCAGTGGGCAATAATTACTTTCTAGTGCCCTTCACCCATCTCTTCCTCCCACCCCAAACACACAGTCACCCTCCCATACTCCAGAGTCATGTACTAAATCAACAAACAAAGGGAATCTTCAGCTTTGGATGAGTAAAGATTTGGAATAGAGGATCTCCGTGTGACACCTTACCGCTTTACCTGCTAGAAGCTAAGCTCATCTTTTCATTTTTCATTTGCTACTTTAACAACAACCTCCATCACTACACTCTCATCTATATAGCCTGCAAATTTAGATTGTGATTGGAAATTATGTGTTAATCTAAAGTAAAATCTAATAACAGCAAGAAAGTTGAATGTTCCATAATGCGTTCCATGAATAGAAACTTCAAGCTGGAAGGAACCTTTAAGGCCTTCTAATCCAAGCCCTTTATTTTACAGATGAGGAAACTGAAGCCCAGAGAGGTGAAGTGAGGTGCCCAAGGCCACACAGCAAGTTAGAGGCACAGCTAGTACCATAGCTCAAGTCTCCTGACTCCCAGTCCAGTGCTCCTCCCATTACTCCACGGGTCCTGTCTCTAAGCTTCCTGACAAATGCTAGAACGGTAAACCTCCACTAGTATTTTTCCAGACCATGTTAAAACTCTTAAGGGGGAAAAAAGGATGCTTTCTTGGATAATGTCAGCCATACGTAGCTCAATCTGTCTAAAGTTCTGGGACAGGGTCTTTTTATGCAGCCAACAGAGTCCAAATGTGGTGCTGTTTGCTTGGCCCATATGCTTTCATGTGTTCCCAGTTAGGCCATTACTGGAGGGAAAAAAACAAGAATCAGCTTGTTTTAAAACAAGGGACATACTGGACTCCCTCCCATCCCCCCTCAGAAAAAAAAAAAATCAAGTTATCTTTAACAGATTCTAAAAATGCCTTTTCCCAAATATGCAGTCAGTTCCTTCAAAGGGCCCTTTGTTTATTTTCAGGAAGAAACCCAAGACAGCTGAAAACCAGAAGGCATCTGAGGAGAATGAGATTACTCAGCCGGGCGGATCCAGCACCAAGCCGGGCCTTCCCTGCCTGAACTTTGAAGCTGTTTTGTCTCCAGACCCAGCCCTCATCCACTCAACACATTCACTGACAAACTCTCACGCTCACACCGGGTCATCTGATTGTGAGTACACCAGTAAGGTGATGGTGTCTTCGTGGCGCTTGGAGCGGTGTGCTTCTCCCCTGGGTTCAGGCTTTTTTTGCGTTCCGAACAAGCCATTTCCATTTGGTCTTTAGAGTAGTCAAAGGGAACTTGCCTCCATTTTGATTCAGCCAACGTCCATATTTTCAAAGCTAGAGTGTATTTTAAAACCAGGTGTCCAGCCACTTGGCCTCAAAAGGCTGATTCATTCTATATGAACCACATTTTCTTTCATAACATTCACTCAAAAAAAAAAAAAAGAGAGTTGGGTTACCGTTTTCTAATTATTCTTTTGTCCCCGCGATCTGAATAACAGCACTTCCACCATGACTAAACTGAACCACCAAATATGGACCTCAAAAAGCCAGTTAGACACAGGAAACATCCATTTTGAAATTACATAATACAAGTCAGCTTTGCATTAGTTATTGGAGTCTCATTTGGCTTGGCTGAATTTCCGTCCTTCCAGTTTTTAATTTATTTTGAAGTGGTTAAAGGATAGCATAAATTTACAGAAGAAAAGAGAATGGCTTCCAAGAATTCAGAATCCACCCAGACTTCACGTAGCCAATAAGAATTCAGGTTAAAAATATTTTTTAATTAAAAAAAACTGCCTACGGGCTAAATTTGGAAATGGGCAGCTTAATGAGATCGTCGCCATTGAAATCACTCCATTGCTGTTTATTTTTGCTGTCTTCCCACTAATCGGGGAGTCACTTCTTCAAATTCTATTTTAAGAAGTTGATAAATCATTTTTCGGAGCTTTTCTCTTTTTGAAGTAAAGCCCAATACTTCAAAGAGAAAGGAACATGTGTGGTGGGACAGTGGAAAGGAATGGAATAATTTTGGGGTCTGACCTGAAAGAATATTCCTTTTGGTGTTAAGATACCCAACAAGTATTCTGAACTGATCTGCATACAGGATGTCTAGTAACAGGCAAAGAGCTGGCGTGTTCTTCTTTAGAAGGAGGAAGAATAAGACCAAGACGGTTTTGTTTTCAAAAAAGGACTCCATTTATCCTGTCCATGGACACAAGCATCCTTAATTAGGAAATGAGAGTCTAAATCTCCTTTTGTTATTTTTCTGACAAAACAAATGTAAAACTCTGCAAAGTGGGCAAGAAGTGGATGCGTCTGGGCGGTTCCATTTCCTACTTGCTTCATCATCATAGTGTCTTAAGTAAAGGGACAAACAACCCAGGGGTTGAGGTCGGGGTGAAAAGGAGCTTGTTCTTCTGGTGGCTGGTCCAGCTGTCACTAGAAAGTGAAACGAGAAAGAACGGGATCCGAATCTCTAGAGCCCGTGTGATTTGTACTAAGTTGCTGCTTCTGTAGAGAGCCCTGGGGATCAGGAGCAAGGACTGTGTTCTGTGGACCATCATAATAGTAACATCCTTGGCCCTTCTTGCTTGGCAGTCTCCAGCCTAATAGTAATTACAGGAAGAACTGGAAAATCACATGGCACAGTGCCCGTAGGCATGTGCGCGCTGTCCCTACCTACCAGGAAGGTAGCCCATTCCTGTGGAGAAGGGCCTGGAGCTCCTGCACGCACACCTTCATCGCCTGGCCTTCTGCCACACCTTATGGGGAAGATTACATAGAATGGCCTTAGCCCAGAAATCCCCTGTTGCAGCAAAATGAATGTTTTGCTGAATAGGGAAGGCACCGGGCTTCATTTATTGTACTTTACCATAAGCATCCTCCAGCCAGGTCTCGGCATTAGCCTGGAATACGAACAAGAAACCGTATGAGCGTCATGCTACTGTACAGCTCAGAAGTGGCCCAGAGGGAGCCAGGAGATCGGAGCTCACAGTGAGGTGTCCGAATGCAGTTGGAAGGAGAACAGACCGGGAGTAGACCCCTAATCTCCAGCTGCGTAGAAAGTCATTCCGATTTTGCCCTTAAGATGTGTACGTCCTCTCTGTCCTAACCTGTTGATGAAATCGATATGCTTTTCTCCAAATATATTTGGATCGTAGTTTGTCCTGATTTGAGCCTAGACTTAGAAGAAAATTGTTTTTAGGAAAGATTCACAGAAATCCGTCCATTTGGAGATTGCTTGAGAGAAGACAGGAAGGAGGTTTATTTTAAGCTGTTAAATTTTTTGGATGCTCTTCTTGCATTCAAGAAGGTTTTTTTGTTGTTTTTTTTTTTTTTTTTTTTTTACTTTCAAATGTCATTCTTACCATAGATTAATTTAAAAGCCTAATTTCTTTAAGGTAAAATATTCTGTTCCTATTTAGAACTAACAGATTTGGGGCATTTAAAAATAGTGCCCTTGACTTGTTAGTCTCTTTAACTTCAGAAACATTCCACCAGTGTGTGGTGTTCCAAGCTTTCACAAGTGCCTGAATTTTTATAGCACCTTTTTATTTGTTATGTGTTTAGCAGAATTATTCTTAGTCATGCTCTAATGCCCATTTCCTGTCAGTCATTATAATTCTTCCCAATTTACGGGTAGGAAAACTGAGAAAATTGACACTTCTGTCGATGAATGACTTGCTCGGTAGTTAACTCATTCAGATAGTGAGGGATGTTTATGGATTTGCTCTTCCTGTAAGCAGCCTGAATTCTCTGTTCCAAGCCCATAAATGGCATTCTTGAAAATGTGTACTCGTATTGGTGACTGAGTTCTAAAACCCTGTGGATCAGCATCCCCACAAGAGAGTCAGCTCTGCCTATGAACCGGTAAGAGCGGGTGAGACGTAGTGTTGTCACCTCTGAAGGACTCAGGCCAATGTTTTAGACAAGTCTGACCCCTAAAATTCTCAGCTGGCTACTTAACCTGCCCAGCGACTTCAAATTTTGCCAAAGATCCCAGTCATATCCAAACCAAGAAGGAATAGGGTTGAAAAATGCTTCCCCTTGTGAGATGGTGAGGTTACTATCGCTGCGGAACTGGGTGCTGCTCCATGGCCCACCCACTACCAATGACCTCCTAGCGACGTTCCCCCGTGACCTCCTAGCTTGCGGCCTCTTCACTGTCTCCAAAAATCCAGTGGTAAACAAACTCCGATGACGAGAACGCAAGGCGTTGAGATGAGTTTGGGAATGCAGAGGGTACGAAAGCCCTAGGTGTTTGACAGAATGGTTCCCTGCTGAGGAACAGGCTGAGGAAGAGGTGAGCCGAGCTCTCTCTTCAGACGTGTAAAGAGGCCTAACCCGAGTCAGCAGAGCAGAGGAAGCCCGCCCTAGCCTGACAGCTCTCAAGCTGCGGCACGTCACAGTCGTGTACGTGTGGCCAACTCGCCCAGAACCACGACTCGCGTGCTTCTTCCATTTTGTCTTCCCCCAAATAAGGCTTCCATCAAAGGGAGAAGCGACTCTCCCCCCTTTGGCAGTGCTCCCGACTTTTGGCCGCGGAGCCACCTATTCTGATGTCTTTGTTTGGTTGGAAGCCGACATCCCTGGTGACTTACCTTCCGGTGTTTTGCACTGGCCTCAGCAGGCTGTCTCATTTGCTGTGTCCTTGCCAAGATGCACTTATGCATTAACAGTTTTTATTTATTTTTAATTTAACCTTTACACATTACCAAACTGTTGTGTGGGTGGGTTTAACTTTAGCTCCGTAGGTAGCATGACTGCTGGGGCTGAGCACCGTCTGAGGAGACTGCTGGGCCCTTCCTTTCTCTCTCTGGCCTTCCACCTTCGCCGGTCTGCCCCCTCCCGACCCTTCACTTCCCCTCTCCCCCCCCAACTTCCATCACCAGGCCAAGTCCCCGAGATTAAAATTTTTAGTACACTTGGTTCAGTTTGAACTTTTAAACAATTTTTTTTAAGAGAACAAAACAGAGGATTTTTTATGGCAAACTCCATTAATGCCACATTAAGGCTGACATTTTAATTACCCCAAAGTCAGGAAATGCAAAGTTCAGGTTCCCACAGCAACAGAAACTGTCCCCTTGAGTGCCAGCACCACAGCCGATTCTTTCTTTCCCTGATTACACAACACCAGGCGTGGGGACATTGTTTTGTCTCTGTGTATGTGGAAAGGAGCACGGTTTTTACCCTTTGTCTCTTTCCTGTAACTACAGTCGAGGATATGGGTCTTTAGCTTCCCTCCCCAGACCATCTATATGTATTATCCTGGAGCGGGAGACCATTATGGCCCTACATGTGCACACGGACAGAATTAAAGTTGCCGTGGGAACATTAACTCTGCTTTCCGGACTTCCGTGCCAGTCACATTTAAACCATAATGTTGTAATTTTTGGCATGTAATAAATGTGCATTTCATGTACACAGACAGAAAGAAGCATAAAATGTATTTTAAAGAGCAATTAATTACTAACTTTGTGATTAAAAAACATTTGGTGCATGTTCCTTCCCATTTAGCATCAGCTGCTGGTCTTAGCCAGGCCTAATAGATGACATACTGCGCCTCATCCTGTATTTCAGATGTACTTACTGTATGTTCCTGTTCTTCGAGATAATTAATTCCCTTAGTAAAGCTGTAGGGGGAAAACAAAATGGAAAGAATATGCAAGCATGTAAATAGGGTAAGGGATATTTTGAAGGAAATGATTCATTTCTGCAAATAAACCTCTTAGTCCCTGATAAAGAGCCAGAAATCTGCTAAGTGGGTGTAGACAAAGGTTTCTGGCCACCTTAGAGCATCTGGTCCAGGGCTATAGGAACAACTTGAAAGCAGATTTCCCACTGAATTCCGGGCATGCCCAGTGGGGGAGTGAGTTTACACTGTAATAACTTTTCAGGCTTCAGGCTTAAAAAGTTATTTTACTCTGTCTCTGCTCTTCAGTTTATATTCAAACTGGAAAAGAAACGTTGTAGGGAATCGGGTAAAATATGGGCTTTGCCAAAGAACCCGATTTAGAGCATAGTGTTGTCTCTTCCTGGATTTGAATCTGGTTGGCCCGTTTGTGTCGGAGAAGGACTTGTTTCAACATAAATGTTTGAACAAGTTTGTGAGTAAAAGAAATGGGTAGCAAGACACTGAAGGTACAGTGTCTAAAATCACAAATG